GAGTAAATAAACTCAGCTTACCTGTCAGCACAACTGCGAAAGAGATCGTTGAACAACAGTCTGAAGATGAAGAGCTAAAACACCTCCTTCAATCAACTACCACATCACTGAAGCTTAGGCAAGTGGATGTCGACAGCGAAGGTACGAAGATATTTTGTGATACCTCAACCGGGACTATACGGCCATATGTACCTATGAAATTACGTCGCAAGTTTTTCGATCAGTTGCACAATCATCGATCGTTACACACGATGGCCGGAAGCGATACCGCTCAGGGATATACAAACCGAAACTATAACCAACGCATTTTTCAACGGCTGGGTCAGCCGATTTGGAGCACCAGCAACCGTAACCAGCGACAGAGGAACGCAATTCGAATCCAAATTTTTTGCTGCATTTACGAAACTTATTGGCTGCAACCGAATAAGGACGACCGTATACCATCCAGCTGCAAATGGTATAGTTGAACGATGGCATCGTTCACTTAAATCTGCCATCATGTGCCACTCTACACAAAACTGGGTCAAAATTCTTCCAGTCGTACTGCTCGGCCTACGAACCAGTTTTAAAGAGGACATTAAAGCCAGCGTCGCGGAAATGCTGTACGGTACAACACTACGCCTTCCAGGCGATTACTTCATCGGCGAAGAAAAGGGGCCTCTAGCACAATGTTTTGTACAGAATTTTCGCGAATTCATGCGTACGGTACGCTCTGCACCTACCGCTCATCATACGAAATCGCGTGCATTCACACATAGGACTCTTAGTCAGTGGCGGATTTATCGTACAGGCAACATAGGCTGAAGCCTAGGGCGGCAGAATTAAGGGGCGGCAAAATTTAAGACAGCTAAATTAAAAGAAAAAAATTTATTTGGATTCAGCTGCACTTGAAATTGTGTTTGTGTCTGTAAAATATTATTAATGATTCATCTCATTCAATACAATTCAAAATTAGAATTACGCTGCGAATTTTTCCTTAGTATAGCAGTCGTTGAAATTTCCATTTAACTTTCATTCACGCGGCTTAGAAACCTGACGGCGCGCCTGCGCGTGACGCAAAGAAACAGCCGACACGCTGCCCCGAGAACGAGAATCATCTAAAAGGTTACCACACTTGACAACACTGCCGAAAAACGAGCGTGCATTTTCGAGAAAATTCTTGATTCCAAGCCCACCAGTTTTTCATAAGTGTATCATAACGTGAATAATCTGAAGGTCAGCTTCCGTCGTATGTCAAATTAGGCAGTGGCAAAATCAAGACGTAAAGAACTGTGAAAAAGAAGTGTTTGAAAGAGGGTTTTTGTTGAATACCTTATCCATGCTGATGTCGAATTTGTTAATTCCGTTATGTATTTCATTATTAACGAACTATATTGTAATAAAGCACTGACAATAACAATCATATTTGATATATATATATATTTTTTTTTTTCGTGAAAAAAGGGCGGCAAGTTATGAATTGCCTAGGGGCGGCAAATATTTAAATCCGCCACTGCTCTTAGTACATCAATACATGTTTTCATTAGAGTGGACGAAACGAAGAAACCCCTTGAACCACCATATAGGGGCCCATACGAAGTCCTCGAACGAATCAGCGACCTCGTTTTTCGGGTCAACGTGGAGGGACGTTCGACTACAATCTCCACCGAGCGACTCAAACCCGCGTTCACTGAAAATACGACGGAATCTCCGCCAACTAAACAAAACAACGAAGCAATGCATCACCAGCGCCAACAACCAGCAGTAATCGATTGCCACGTAATCCTCGAACACATAAGCGGAAACAGCGAAATCAGTAGCTCGGAGTATAACTCCAACCCACTTCGGGGGGGCTACTGTGGCAACCACCAAAAAACAGCTGACAGCTGCTTGCTGAATTAGTGCTGAATTTAATAGAAAATGGACAGCGGCAGATTCTTCTTTGCGGAAGTTTCTCTCGCTCTCTGGATTTTTGACTGCGACACGAGGCGGACGTCTTGGGTTATACAAACTAGCTAGCACACATAAAATATAATCCGATTAAATATTATAGTTGTAATTTGTAAGTAATAAAGAAAAATAAATAGTAAATTACCATCTCATCTTACTTGTACGCTACAGTTTCTTGCACAACGGTCGATTTCTTCTGGCATGATTGAAGGTGCTGCACATATTTCGTTGTCGCTTATGATTGTCACTGTGCCTGAGCTGAGATTGGGGTTTTACTATAAACCTAAATACATAAGTGTTTCCACAGTCCAGCGTTGTCTCTCACTCTCTCCCTTGTTTTTTGCTATTTGTTTATAAATGATTAGTTTCACCATTCACCATAGATAATCAAACAAAAAAAAAAAAAAAAACTAGAATTTAAACTTTTTGCGAGTGCCCATATAAATAGTTATTAAGTCGGCCATTGTTTAATTTTTGTTCTTGGACATTTCTTATTTTTTAATTGCAACGTTATACATTAAATTAAAGGAAACCGCCCCTTTGTAACTTATTAAACAAATAACCACAAAAACAAAAAAAAAACAAAGAAAAAAGAAACAAAAACTGTTGTACAAAAGAAACATTAATATCTACAAGCCCCTATATCTAAGTATGTAGTATGTTTCTCTTTTCTTGATGTAATAAATTTGGATATTATAATGGAGTAATTTAAATTTTTCCTTGGCGATAGGGTAACGGAAAGGTTTGATGAAAGTTGATAGGGGATTTTCAATTAATCGCCATTGAGAATCCATGGGGGGCGGGCTTAGCCACTGCATCTGCGCTAGAGAAAAAAATCAGCAACAACGAGACTCGTAGGCAATTCTTATTTTTGATTATTTAAAGATTTTTCGTTTCGTTTTGGGTTAAACTCCGGTCGATCAGTTTCGTCGGCATTTTGGTCTTATTTTGTTATTTTTCTAGGAACTCTTTAAACTTTTTGAACCAACTAGACGAGTTCTGTCCGACTATTGCCTAGAACCAAGTGAGTCCATAGGTGTTGGTTACAAATACGCGCAAAAAAACACGACCTCCGAGACACTGTGAAAAAAGTTTTGAGTAGCTTTCCCCTGCCGCTGCATTGAGCGCATTGTTGGTCGAGATCTACACGTCGTACGCGAACATATAAATAATGCGTTAATTGGAAATTTTGTCTTCTACAACTTTTACATTTAAATGTGCCACTTATTTCAAATAGAAATTGCTCAAAATTCAAAAAAACCGCGCCACTTACCCAATTTTGGGCATTTTTTGCATATTATTAGCAATAAATAATCGTTTAAAAAAATGATAGGCACATGAAAATTGTAGGGAATCGATTTCTCTAAAAATTTGTTCCCTACCTTTTTTCGCGAGAAATGCAAAATTAGCACGCAAATCGTAAAAAACACAAAATCCAAGATGGTGGATATTTCCCATATCGCAATTGGGGGAAAACTTTTATTTTCGTGTTCATCTACATAAACAGGAGACACCAAACTGCGTCAAAAAATTTCTTCCTGGAACTTTTTCGTTGAAAAAATCGAGTGCAAAATTCGCGCTCAAATCGCAAAAAACACAAAATCCAAGATGGCGGATGGAGGACATTTCCCATATCGCAATTGGGGGAAAAATTTTCATTTTGTGTTCACCTAAACAGGAGATACCAAACTGCATAAAAAATTTCTTCCTGGAATTTTTTCGTTGAGAAAATCTAATGCAAAATTCGCGCGCAAATCGTAAAAAACACTCAATCCAAAATGGCGGACATTTCCCATATCGCAATTGGGGGAAAAAAAATGTCATTTTGTGTTCACCTAAACAGGAGACACCTAACTGCGTCAAAAAATTTCTAAAAGATCTAAAGTGATTGGGCTATACCGTGTACACAGCTTGTAGAGTACGTGATAGAAAAAATTTGAGATTTCTACTCTTTGACTGTAGCTGCAGAACTATCAGAATGGTTTGACTCGAAGAAACCAGTAAAAAGCCGGCAATAGTATTTTAATCTTACGCCTTGTGTTCACAAAGGCGTAAAGCGATTTGGGTTTAAAAACGATATTGAGTAGAGCCCTTTTAATATAATTCTTGCAACATTTTTTGTTTACCAGTGCCGGCAACCTTTGTGTGTGAAATAATATATGTAAATCAAAAATAATAATAGCAGATTGGTACTTACACATAGGTCACAAAGGGAAGCGACCTACAGTTTTACGCCGAATCCGAACGGCGATTGTATTTTTTTTATGAGAAGCTGTTTTTCTTTGCAGAATATATTCGGAGGTTTGGCATTACCTGCCTAAAGTGACCGCTATTAGAAAAAACTTGTTTATGTTTTATTTTTTGCCGTTGGTCGGAAATTGGGCTTGAACCCAGGCCCTGCGCATTGCTAACCAGTACACAGCGACCGCCACATGAAAGCTAATCATTACTTTTAGAATCTTTTTCTGCAGATTAATAATGACGATAAAGTATTATAAAAATTTATTTTTTGCTCAACAAAAATCATTCTTATTTGATCAAAAGTAATGATTACTCGTATAATCCATATTTCATTTCGTAGATAAAATTTATGAATACAAATATAAGAAAAATAAAACAGCAAATACTTATGTATACAATTTTTTCATATAACTTATTGAATTTGAACTGCCGGTTTCACCAGCAATTTAAATGAAAAATCATTATTCTCCTTCTGTAAGTTTTCATGTCTGCACTTCTCAAGAATATTACCAGGGAATATTTTTCATCAGTTCTGCTGCTTGAAAAAGTACTTTGATGTCGATGTAAATTTTCTTAAAAAAAATAAATATAAGAATAAAATTTTCTAGGGATCTGCATAATTATATAAGAAATTTTGATAGAAGAAAATTATTTCCATTTCTAGTACATCATGACATGAATTTTTCGTTTTTCTTGAGAACTGTATACAACACTTAAATTCAAATAAAAAAACTCATTTTTCACTAAGTTGCTTTCGTGAAACTGGCTACAAATATTGCGCATATAATTACATATTTGACTGCATATGTATCTGCATACATATATTTCAGATGCCAGGCCGGAACTGGACGGTGCATTGTTGACAAAGCCCACAGAAATCAGTGTCAGGCGTGCCGCCTTAAAAAGTGCCTTCAAATGGGAATGAATAAGGATGGTTAGTATAATTACAAAATATCCGAGATAATTACACATATTAATACTCTCATACCAATGTGGTTTATGTCAAAATTTATGTTAATTTAGATTACAACACCGACTACTTATGACTACATAAGTGTATCTCGTTATCGCTTTATCGATTTCTACCAAATACGGTAAAATTATTTCATTAAGTCTAAAGGCCCATTTACAATGAAGCGAGACGCGAGTAGAGATGAAACAATAACATGGTGATATCGATACATTTACTTGGAAGTAGTATCGAAACCTGAAAAATATCGGATCTAAAGCAGAGCTGCTCGCTCCATAAGCACTTTTATGGCATTCGTTTTTGTTTTGCCCTGACGTTTAGGCACAAATACAAATTTACACTTCAAATCAAGGCGAACTAATATATGGTTATAGCAGGAGTTCAAAAACAAAAATTTACATGTCTTTTGTTTTTGCTTTTGCGGAGTGAACTGTTAAAATCTATAAGAGTGTACATATTTCAATTTGACATTGTAAGCCGTGATGCGGAACACACAAATACAAAAAATTAGCTGATCTAGTAACACCAACTTATATAAGGTCGCCTTCTTTTAGATTAAAAAAAAATGTATCGCAGTCCCGTATGCCCTGACATATAAACACAATTCATATGAAGGTGCCTCAGCTTTATATGAAGGACAAAGCCAGTGTTGCCATTTTGGTACTTTTGGTGCTAGATTTAGCTCGTTATTTTTTTATTTAGCTACAAAAATTGGGCTTTAGCTCCTAGCTCCTTTCAGCTCTCCTCAAAATTATCTAGCACATTCTAGCTTCAGCAAGTTTAATTTGCATTTGGTAATATATTAAAATTATAAATCTGTAATTTCATTGTACAAGTGTTAAATACAATTTCTTTGGCTTTGGTGACCTCAGGCTATTTTTGATACTCTCATGTTATTCTATTTCAATTAATATTTAGAAAAGTTACATTCCTAATACAAATGGCGCGTAAGCAAATGGAAATGGTCCAGTAAATCGTTTAGTTTCTACAAAGTTCGCGGGAGCACATAAACTATACCGGTCAGTAATTCCCGCAAGGATGACATGATATGAAACTCTTCCATTTTTCTTCCGAGAATCTAACTTAAACTCGCTTTCTGACTTGGCAACACTGTCAAATAAAGTTGGTCTGAACAGCTGACAAGCAAAATCACTAGATACGCACGAAATACACCGATTTAATTCCAATGGATTTCCCTTATATAGTAATTTTTAACACTAAATAATTAAGAAGATAGTAAAAATCTAAAATATTTGCTTGTTTTGTTAGATAAAAATATTCACAAAAATTTGCTCAATAAAATGTACCAATATGATTTTCGCTGCTGTGTCAATATTGGGGGATGTTATAAAAATGAAACTTTTCACAGCGCTCTCACGAGAAAAATAGTTTTTCCACGGGAAAATGCAGACTCCGCCATAAACTCTTGGATCTGGGTTAAACAAATTAATTAGAAGAAAATCCGTTTTAGCTCCAAACGAAACTTTTTCTGGCAACACTGGGCAAAGCAAACACACTGCCATATGAAGCTCAGGCATTCCAGAAGGATGTACAAATTTACACAAAAAATATATAATGAAAAATAACAAAAAATTGTAAAAGCACTGAGAAAAATGTATACTTAAAATTTATTTAATATACGTATATAGTGAAAGTGTAAAAAAGACACATGGCGTTCAATAAAGAGTGAGAGCGCGAGTTCTTTTTTTTTATAACAATTTTGAGTGAGAGGTTGAAAAAAATTATTGTTTGCCCATCGGAATTCAATGTAATACCTTTGGAGCATCACATCACGTAAACTAGAAAGCAGAAAAAAGAAATTACGCGACTTTTATATTGAAGGGGCCTTCAATAATGTCCAATCGGAGGCGATAAGCAAGGCACTCTCTGAGCACGGCATTCAGCGTCCTGCGGTGGCATGGATTAACTCCATGCTCAATAGCACACAGGATCTCTGAGAAGGAAAACCACCAGGGGCACACCTCAAGGGGGCTTAGTATCCCCTCTACTCTGGCAAAATCCTGTCAACGATAAGTGAACTAATGTAGAGTGCACTAGGTAATATCTATAAGTGGGCCAACCAGAATGGATCGTGCTTGGCGACTTAAATGCCAGGGTAGGCAAGGAAGGGAACCACTGTCTGAAAATGCAGCCTCCCCACGACGAAACGTCCGACAAAGGACTGAGGCTGGTCGACTTCGGCGGGGCCCGAAACATGGTAGTATTCAGTACTAGGTTCAAGCATAAAAAGATCCATAAAGCTACGTGGTCGTCTCCAGATCGAAAAAACAGAAACAAAATCGATCATGTTGTGATAGACGGAAGGCACGCTTCCAGTGTTTTGGACGTACTTATCGCCGCCGAAGAACCAGTCGAATTTCAGCGAGGCCGAAAGAGCAACTGGTACCATGAGGAATTCCACGAAGCTGCAGAAAAAAAGATGCAGCCTACAGGACCACACTGCGATCGGGCGCAACGCGTGCTATATTTGGACTGCTATAGAGAACTGAAGAGGGAAGCGAGACGCATTTACCGCAATAAGCAGAGAGCCCGAAATACGTGAGTACGAAGAGCTTAAGATGCTGGCCGACAGGAAAAACGCCCGAAAATTTTACCAGAGAGTAAGCCGCCTTCCGGAAGGATTGAAGACCAGAGCGAACTTCTGTAAGAACAATGGCAATCTAAAGACTGACGTCCAGGACAAACACTTTTCCACCCTACTGAATGGGAGCAGCTCTGAAAGCTCACATCCTCAGTCGATGATGACGGAATCGATGTTCTACCACCTCACTATGCCGAAGTATGAATAGCAATATCGACTTGAAAATCAACAAAGCTGCTGGGGCTGACAGCCTTCCAGCAGAGCTATTAAAGTACGGCGGCGGGAAGCTGATAAGGTGCATGCTCACCTCTTGTGCCGAGCATGGTAAGATAAACGCTTGCCCGACGACTTGAATTTAAGTATGCCCTGCCCAATCCACAAGAAAGGCGACCCCGCCATACCCGCTAGCTAGTTTCAGACAGGGCGACACCCTTTCATGCGATTTCTTTAATCTGATGTTGTAGAAGATAATAAGAGGTGTAGAAATGAACCGCTCAGGGACAATTTTCTACAAGAGCGTGCAATTGCTGCCGTATGCCAATGACATCAACAACATCGGTAAAGAAAACCGCGAAGTCTGGTCTGCCTTCTCCAAGTTTGATAACGAGGCAAAACGAATAGATCTAGTGGTAAACGAAGACAAGATGAAGTATCTCCAGTCATCAAACAAACAGTCAGCAAAGAATTTCGTTTCTCGTTTCGTCCTCTCCCGACGTACGAAAACCGCCTCTATAAGTAAGTCATTAGGCCCGTGCAGGTATATGGCGCAGAAGCATGGTCAATCCGATTAGGCGGCTCTTGGAGTATTAGATATATATGAGCCTTCAACGACATGGACATAGTACAGCGAATTAAAATACAGCGGCTCAGTTTGTTAGGATGGACGCCGACGCACAGTGGGCTAATCGACCCTGAACGTGGAGATCAATTCATACGTATATTTCATTTAAAATATTTTGAAGTATTTGTATAACTAGCACCAAATGAAGTAAAAAAAAAACAAATCCGAAAATAGTTTAGTGGGATTTTTTTATGTAGGTTTTATGGAGTTACCAAAGAGCGAGAATAGTTAAAATTTAGTTGTTACTCCCATAAATAATTTTTATTAGTAATGATAATTTTTTAAAATCCTAATCATCATTAATTACAAGTTAAACACCAATTCTATTATTATAATAATTATCATCATCATTATCTTCATTACTATTTTCATCACGCACATCATCACTTTTTTAGGAAACTTTTTATATGATAATGAATACGAAATGTACAAATTTTCTCTTCAACAATTATCTACATGTTTTTGCTAAGCCTAGAAAGTAATTTAGAATATATAACCTTTATAATCTTTATAACCTTTATAACCTTTATAATTTATAATAATAACCTTTATAGAAATTGCCTTTTTTTCTGCTAAAGCGATAGAGTATATTCGATTAAGAATGTCCAAGATTTAGCTTTCCCTGATTCCATATATACACATTTCATGTTGCCTTTTTTTGCCTTTTTTAAGATATTTGCCTTTTTTGCCTTTTTTAAGATATTTGCCTTTTCTACCTTTAAAAAAGTGTTTATAGCATTTAAAATTAAAAAATATACACATGCCCATGCGGCTTATAGAAGCGCAGGGACCTCTTGCCAAATTGGTGTTGGAAAAATTCATAGTCGTTTTCTCAGCTAACGTAGGCTAGGAGACAATAAGGGGTGTGGATAAATTTGAAAAGGACGAGGAAAACGCCCTTATTCCTGATAATATGAACGTTTCAAACGTTCCATATTTAAATTGGGCTACACTTGTATCAACTTACGTCAAGCGCACATTTAGTACATTCAAGGCTTTTCTTCGCGAAAATCGAATGAAAATGCTGCCAGAAAATTTCAAAATGCATCTTGGGGTTCAATGTTACTACAACTATACAGATTAAAGTTTTATGAGTTAGAAACTCGAAAGGATAAAATAAAAAAGATTCAAATTACAAATTTTTCATGTAATAAAACTAGTTCATAGTTTTTCTCTTTTTACTTGTAATATAAACATTTCTAAAATAAATGTATTTTTTGATTGTTCTTCGTATTTTCTGTATTTTTTTAGTGCCTTATTTTGCTTTTTTTGCAAGCCCTAGTGCCTTTTCCTGCCTTTTTCGCTATTTTGTTTTGCCTTTTTGCAATATCTAGTGCCTTTTCCTGCCTTTTTCCCTATTTTATTTTGCCTTTTCCAGCCTATTTCGTTATTTTATTTTACCTTTTTATAGGTTTTTAGGTCCTAATAATCTGTTCCCTGGTCATCACTATCAACATCTTCATCATCGCTGCATGAGGCATGCATGCATAATTAACAACTGTTGTGCTTCTTTCGGCAAAT